TATCCATTTTATATATACATACATATTTATGTATCAATTTTTTACATATATGTATATGTGTGTGTATATATACACATATATATTTGTTGTTAGATGTCATTTAGTCGCATACAAAGCTGTAGTAGCCCTATAAACAACAGATATGAATCCTTTCCTATCGTGTGCCGTATACACATATACATGCACATATATAGTTGTTGTGTACCAACCCATAGCTCACCCTCCAGTGGGTTTTCAGAGGCAGTAATGCACGGTAGAAGATTGCCCATCCTTTATAGGTATATAAAAGGTTGCTAGGCATCAGAGCTGATAGATGATGATAGATAGATAGATAGATAGATAGATAGATAGATAGATATCTCACATGTAATTGAGCAATTAAAAATTTAGGGAAATAAGCCTTATGGTGGTCAGTATCATTCTCTGAAAAGATTTAAATAGGCAATAGGCATTATCGGGAGACATGAACCCTTTGATAACAATATCCTTTCTCAAGAAAAATGTTCTTTTCTTCTGGGGTTTTAAAATATTCCTTAAATCAAAGGTAAGGCTGTTAAATGAAGATAAAAGAAACGAAACTGAGAAGTCTCTAATATCCTAGAGCAGCTAAAATAATTAAAATGTTTTCACCAGTACCTCTAATTATGATTCCTTGTTCTGAAGCCAAATTAATATCTTTTCAGTTTCTTAAGAAATACACAAAAACAAAAAAAAAATAATAATACTCCTTCCAAGTTGCTTCTTAAAAATTCCCACAAATTTCCATATGGCTGAATATTATTTTTGGTGACAGAACACCGTTGGTCTTCCAGGAGAGAACATTACCTAAAGAAGTATTTTTTTAATATATGAAGTATTTACTAATAATAGATCTATTGAACTAATGTTATTAAATGTGAATGAATGTTGGATAAAAGATATACATATATATAATTTTCCTTTGGGTGCATTTTTTTTTCATGATTACGAAGGTTAAACTATTTTTTTAAAGTTAACTTCCCCCCTCAGAAAGATGCGATCAACTATAAAATTTATATATATATACATATATTGACCTTGCCTGTCAATTCAAAGGTTCAAATCCACCAGCTGCTCCTCGGAGAATGATGGGCGATCTCTCCTGTGATATTTACAACCCCTGAAAACTTGTTGAGTAAATTTCATTCCATGGCAATGAGTTTTGAAGTTTTTCTAAGTATTCTATTTTAGCTTCTGATATATAACCATTTTTGTTTAGCAGGCTTAGCCACAAACTTTAGTTTTATTGCTTTATATTGAACATATTTTAATATAATGTTGGCCCAATTCACAATACAAATTCATCATCCGTTTATACAGATTTCTCAGAAAAATTATTGTATCCTGAATGGAATATTGTTTATTGTGGGGAAATCATTAAGTAGAAATATCTTGGAACAAAAAAAAATATCAGCAAATAAACTATGGATATATGAAAAGTATTATTTTAGTGAAAGAATATATGAAAATACTAAACATCTTCCCAGGAAATATCACTAACTCCTGGGAAAACTGGTTCCCAGAAGAGAGGGCTACACAGGGAAAGTTTATTCCAACCCTTGCGTTAGCTATTCCACTTAACAGTGTCTTAAGTAATTCTAACAACAGTTATAAGGAGTAGAAATTTTCTTTCTTTTATAATGGAGTATGCTATAGTGACTTTGCTATCCATTGTCTTTGACATTCACTACTTGATTAGGTGACTCACTCATTGCCATCAAGTTGGAGC